TTCCATCAATAACAGATCGTTCTTTTAGGCATTCACCTGAAGATTGTAAGCCGGCGCCGAATAACGCTCCACCAGCTATTGATCCTAATGTTACAAAAAACTGGTGCACCGAGACCAGCCGTTAAAACAGAACAGGTGATCCCGCCGACAGCCAATAAAGAAGAGAATACAAGAAAACCAAGTCGCTTCCAAAAAGCTTTATGTTGCTTTACACTCCCGCATTCAGATAAAAAAATTGCTTTCCACCGTTTTAAAGAAAACCATCCTTGTTGATAGTCAAAGTGGTTGTGATATTGAGCTCGATATTCATCATTTAACAAAATTTCCTTTGCGTGAATTATCTTTTCTGCTATTTCCTTATTGCCATTAGGCTTGTCGGGATGCCATATAAGCATCATTTTAAGAAATCCTGTTTTGACCGCTTTTTTTAAGTCATTTACATTCATTTTACGAACTTCTTTCATGTTTAATCCTAGTTGTTCATACAAGTCTCCAGAGGGCAATTCGTTTTCTCGATTTATGTGGCGACCGATTGTTTGCTTGCCATTTTCGTTTACAGTATTTCGTTGACAAGTTAATGATTCATTTATAGTTATCACTTCAATATCGTTGCAATTCTTGGGTCCAAGAAGCTTCTTTTCATTTCTATTGTTTATATGCGCAAAAATTTCAAACTTGAATGATTCCTTATGATGATAGCGATGATTCTCTGTTGGTTGGAGGGTTTTTGAAGAAGTCGGAAACTTGCAAAAAGGAGACCAACCTTTGTAATAGTTTACAGTGATTTTAACATTGGAATGGTTTTCAACGACTAAGCAATTATATTGATCATCCGCCATTGAGTTTTGTTTTTTGAACTCTCTTGATTTATCCAATTTTCTTTATGAGACACTGTCGTCTTAATGTTCAAAGTTCTGCTTAATATGTCATCACATTAGTTCCAAAGAAAAAAAAATCATTGTAAAACTGAAGTATTAACATTTTTTAATTGCAGACTTGGAGATTGCAGATGATTGCCTCTTCTGAACCTCCAGATGTGCTTTGGTATAAACGTTACTGAGGAGTAGTCTGCCGAAATACATCGTGTCGTTTAATTTAGAACTATTGGGTTAGTGCTTTTTATTTAAAACAGTTCTTTTAAGAACTGTCAACTTGTTATATTACTTTTACCATTCACTATGTTATTTGCTATCTTTAGAACTATTTGTCACCACGACTTAGAGGAAAGGTTCGCTCGGTGGTAGCAGCATTCCAGAATTTTACGATAACTGACCGCGCGCTCCTCGCTCTTATGGCTAAACACGTCAGCAAAAGTGCTTTTTTATTTTATTTTGTTTTTTTTTTTTTTTGAAAAAGAAATCTTCAAATAAATTTTGGTTATTATACTTATCTGTAAATGTGCTGATTCGCAAGTGATCTCATTAATTTTTTCTGTATATATCTAAGTCAAAAGAACTCATGGGAGAACTGCATTTGAACTATGTCTACAAATCATAAATGCATGAAGCAAGTTTAAAATTGAGTTGTAATTTCAACATAATTTTCATGTTTCATAGTCCCATATTTTCATCGTGTTGATTTTTTAGTAATATTTCAAAATATTTTCATAAATCCTTCAAGATTATTTGGAATGTATAAAAACACAAGCTTTATAGTTACGTCATTCACCGTCAAGATTGTGAAACTCTGTGAAATATAAGTGCTAACAGTCTCTTTGGAAGTTTCTAGCAACAAAGAAAAAACACTCCAATACTTGGATGAATACTTTTTTACGATCAAGACTATCATATTCATTTATCTTTATATGGCATTCCTACAGCTCAATGAAATTTGAACCAATCAAAAAATCCAGTTTATTAAAATTTCATTTTAAAATGAGTAATGAAATAGTCCGTGATCTGTGACCGATTTTCTTTCATTCCCGTTGGACACCTCAAGGAAGGTCGTGAAAAATTCAAGACAGAACGACTTTTACATGCTTAACGCAGTTTTACTTCTTGTCATCTCCAAAAAGCTGCAGTTTTATTGCTATATTACATTAAAATTTTAAAATTTGTAGCTCATTACAATTTCGAAATCCGCCATTTTCCCCAAGGAAATTTCATGCTATTTATATTTTGTGTGCTAGTGCCAGACCTAATAGAGAGCTATTCCGCACGATAATACTGGCAACATAAATAAAATGTCTGAAAAAAATACATATTTCACTTGTGCATTAGGTTGGATTTTAGCAATTGTTGCGAAGATAATATTTTGAAAGTTATAATCGTATTGTGCAAGACAAGGCGCGCTTTTTTTAAAGGTCTGTCTCGAATTCGTCGTCAATGTCATCATCTAAAAACTCCTCTTCCTCAACATCATTGTCGTCATCAATATCTACATTCGTGCATGCAGTACACGACCATACATCTGTATACTTCACTCCGGCTTTGTTACATGAACAACGTTGGGAGTTACAGCCACATGGCAGCCAGTCTTACAACCACAATGAACGTTATCAAGTAGGGAATTCGGCGCTAGGGGGGAATGGTCATCCATAAGATTTCAGACTTGCAGTTTCCCGTCACTCGTTTGCCACCCATTTTCATCCGGAGGAGTAATATCCATTTGTGGTTGTAAACAGAAAGGCCAAAGCGCGGCTTGGTACAAAAATGTAAGTTCCATAAACTTCCATTGCTAATCAAGAGTTAGTGTAAATATTGCTAAAGTCATTCTTATTGCATTCTGTATACAACTGAGAGGTATTTTGCAAAAAAGAAGTTAAAAATCTCAGTTAAGAAGCATAAAATCTCAAAACACCAAGCTAGAACTCAACATTATATGATTCTTAGAACAAACTTAGCTACTATTTGTTTACAATATGTCAGAAGTGGTAAACTTTTGTATTTTTCAACAATCTCTTTCATAGGTTGTGATGATTGTTAATCTTCAGTTAAGGCTTTATGCTCAAGATCATGTTTTACAGTTCAAGAAAGAATATTTTTCAGTGAGCCATTTCAGAAGCCAGAAAGCTGGGGTTTTTTGCTTGGGTTGAAACTTGTTTTATTGTAAATTTGATTAGCGAGGACTTTCATAGATAAAAGTTGTCCTTGTCATACCATGAAAAGGAGAGTGAAAGACTTCTGGCACATTGATTGAAAAAGTGATCCTGTATATATATATATTTCAACAAGAAATGTAGTTATGATTCTGATCTATACATACTAATTTACTAATTTACTGTGTCCTTTGATAAAAGTTTATAATGTTGATTTAAAATAAAGAATATCTGAATTATTTTTGAAGTCATTCTTTATATAATCAATGCATGGAAACAGCAACTAAAGATGATTTTGGGACATTGGTATGTAATGGAGACAAGATCCTCTGTTAGAAGTGAGCAAGCCCTTTAATGCTTAGTGTAGGTTCTACAAAACCAAAAAAATGTTGTCCTTCTTTATTTAAAAAGAGAAATTTCAGAATTCTACTCTTCCAAAGTAAAGAATGGTCTTCACTTATCCTATGTGGAGCGACCTTGTAGAAAGAGTGGTCAAAACATTGAATCAAAGTATTTCTTGTGTTTAGTGAGTCTAATAGCCTGATAGCAATACTTTTAAAACTTTATTTTTGCTCTTACATCACTTAAAGCAGGTTAATCACAAAGGCATGTACTTTATGGAATCTGTAACAGCTGTAAGCTGCTAAATGTTTGTTCTACAATTTTTACATTTATCTTAGGCCTATGCATAATGATGTGCCTCTTTAAAAGCTTATTAACAAAAAATTCTTTAGTGGTAATGATCAATTTCATACCAAGCTTTAGTGATTAAGGAAAAATTTATGGAAAGATGCGTTGCTATCCTTCGAAAAGTGAAGTTGCGCACTATTTAACCATGAGTTCTTAAAACTGACAAGGTGACAGTTTAGGTTTGCTTCCAAAATTTTCGACAGAATTCTTCATTTAAAACTTATATTTTACTTGGACTTTATGAAGAGTCTCGCCTTTTTGCCACCTTTCCAGATGGCACCCGTAAATAAATTTGTCTCACCATGACAACGGCAGTTAGATACAAACAGTTCCGCACAAAAAAAATGGCGATATTCAAAACTGAAGGAGCGAGGAATGAAATGGAGCGTTGAAATTCAACCGCGAAATACTAAAAAACTGCAGCTTTTTAGAAGTGACAATAAAAAGAATATCAAACAGCAAGTGACTTTCTATCTAATTTGAAAATTTTTTGACCTTCCTTGAGGTGTCCAACGAAACTCATTTTTAAAGTATATTTTTGAGGCACAGATCACGGACTATTAGGTCAAATAGTTGGAGCGCTACTGAATAACACAAATATAGCATAATGCTATTTTCTGTGTTTCTTAATAACATTGCGACTATTTAACTTTATGTTTATCGTCATATTGGCAAGCGAAATGCTTATGAAAATCTACGTTAACATCAGTATAAGATTCATTTTTTTTCAGTATGAAGCGGGATTCTTTCACTGAAGGGCAATCATGTATTGCCTAACATTAACATCGGTATATGTTACTGTATATTTAATATTGAATTCGAAACAAAAATGAACAAGAATATTCAGTTGATTAATCTCTGATAAACCTTTCACCTTTACTTGTCGCAAGCTCGGGACTTAAAGCGCAAAGCTCTCTACCTTTTAGTTGACTCTTCTCGTTCACAAGGAAGAGGCGTAGAAGGTTAAAACACAAATGTTGTGAGATAAGGTAGATATTGTAAAATGGATAATGTTGTTGATGTGAAAAGGAAACTGTCGAGAACTATAATAAAAATGAACGACAGTCTTAAAATACAAAGACAAACAAATATATTTTTGTCTTCGAAGTTTTCTTCTCAAGATGTGATTTCAAAATCCAAAAAACTATCTAATAAAATCGATGACAATTTAGCTAGTTTGGTCATAGACTCGTTTTTATTCTCAAATATGATTTCTTTTACTAGGAATCAATATAATATGTCTACAATCAACGAACACGTCATCCAAACTCACCGTTTTTTATTGAAGACGATTGTCAACGATAAATATTGTTTGTGTTTTTATTCACGCTATGCTTCTTGTACAGGAAAGATGCTCGTTGTTGTTGTTGACAGTTCCTAGACTTCAGACAAACATTGCACGAAGGTAAACTTCATAACCAACTATCAGGTCTGTATGGGAAAATTTGAACTGCGCAATAGCTTTATAATTAGGTTGTTATGTACAGTGCTGCCATTCTAATATTTCAAATTTCACTACGTGATGGAATTTAACTACTTGGGTGCTTTTCACTCGGTGATTTCACAAAACACGACAGGATTACATTACAGGATTACTATTTTGTTATAACTACACGCAAATAATGTCGTTTTTAGGAAGTAATAAAATGCTAGTAATTTTCAACCGCAAAACAAAGTAATAATTCATTTACTTAGAGAGAATGACATAAATAAATGGAACATAGAACGATAATATCCAAAATATGGTAAAAAAATATTCCGAAGAAAGTGTCGGCTGGACATTATTGTCGGCTGGAATCGGTTAAATTGTCGGCTGGACATGGTTTTTGATAGTATCCAAGACCTGTTTGTCTGCGGTATGTATTGGATTACCCTTCGCTCAGGCTGCACGGTTTACATAATCTGCTTTTTTCCATACTTTAAAATGTACAATCTACACTAAAATTTGTTACTTTTGATGGTAGCACCAAATTTATATTATAATTTCCGATAACTTAACAATCTCAGTGAGCAACATGCAGTTTCAGCCAGGGATGGCATTTATTCTTTAATCATTTTTTCTTTAATCTTCTTTAATGATTAAAGAAGATTTGAATCAAAACTTAAAATTGTCTTTAATGTTCCTTATTTATGCTCTTACGTCTGAAATAGTGTTTATCCAATGTCACATTAAAATATTAAATAACAGCATATTTTCTCTGTGGTTCACTTGTACATTCACTATGTAATATGAGGTTGTCTTGATGAAAATACAGAGCCTGGTAACTTGTTAAAGTCTCAAGATGGCGGCACAACAAAGTGAAAAAATTTATATTTCATATTTGCATTTTAGCACTATTGAATATTTAGCTGAGGAATAAATATTTCCTTCTTGACAATTTGTTTGAAATTTTGTTAAAGTTTTAATGGTTTTCTCGAAAAGTTTTCTTTAATTGTCTTTAATTGTCTTTAATTGAATTAAAGAATAAAGAAAAAAAATTTTTCAAAAAAACCTTCTTTAATCCATCCCTGGTTTCAGCCTTTATTTCAAAATAAAACAAAGCTTTTCGTGTCGCAGGAAACTAGTTATTTTGCACGAGAATGGTATTTAGAAACTACAGTCAAGCTGTCGTAGAAAACTATAGGACATAGTAACACACACTCTGGCTTAGCTATTTCGCGTCTTTTCAGTCTTAAATGTGAAAAGTAATTTTCCGCCATCCGTTTTCCGCTTTAATTCATCACTTTTACGGCAGCGTGCACGTGTATCTATGACGTCATTAAAAGTGTAAGCAAAGTCAAAGTTCGGAAATAGAAAGCTTCTTACATTATGATGCAACAGTAAAAAGATATTGTGGCTCAGGAAAGGATTAGGAAACATTAAAAAGGATTCTTAGCCATTATCCAAATATGCTTAGAAAAAATACGCAAAACAATCCCATAAAATTATCGTAATGCTGGAGCCGGGCGTCGCGCTAAAAATGAGCTTAAGCGCTATAGAGATGTCCATTTACGGAGAATGTACTTAGGTTTGATGTTTACCTTTTCTTGCAACGCATTGACTTACTAAAGATTATCGACACATGATGTACACCATTTCCTGTGTAAAAAAGTCTATTTTCTTTTGCCAAGAACTATTTTAAACACGCTTATTTTATATCTTTGTATTTTGAAATAGCGTACCCATTGAAAGAAACAGTGAGAGGGCTCTTGTAGAAATTATTGAAGGTTTCTTCAACAGTGGAATTTATGTAATTTCATACCAAATAAGCTACGTGTCATCTAAAACCTTTGTACTTAGCCGTAATCTTTAATTACTTGAAGACAGCTATAGCAATCATTCATTTTTACCGTTTGTAATGTACATAGTTACAAACATAGAATAGGCATTAGACACATGTACTAAGCAAGACTATATTTATGATACTCCAATGAGGGATGATAATTGACAAGATATCTCACAATTCATCGTGAGGGAATTTTTCAAGTCGTTTTCCGTTATCATGTTGAAATTATCATTCAATGGCACATCGTTGATAATTACTTGCGTTTGGCAAATTTTTTTCCTTATCAAATTCTTCACAAATTTTTTTTACGCACAGAGCCGAGAAAATACCTGTACTGGTGTCAAATAACCGGGAAAAAAAAGCGAACCTATTAAGGTCGGTCATTAAACTGTTGTTTGACAGTTTATGAAAGATAAAATAAGATTATAGGAGAACTAAAGTCTGAAAACACAACAACGAAGGGCTTGATTATGTGGAGGTGAGCTGGACCGGATAGCGAATAGCCTCAGACAGTATATAAACTACATTATTACATGAACACATAATTACATGACAGCGCATTACAATATATATAAGTTAAGTGTGAATAATGTGGCCGAGAGTAGCTAAATGAGATGAATATTTTGAATTGTTTTCATGTTTTCATTGATTTGTGTTGTTATTATAAACACGCGATTTTTTGCGCGCCGTAATTTCCCCAGCCGGTTAGCCATATATCATGTCGATAAAAGCTTTCTCGTCCAGCGGGCTAGCAAGCCTTCTTATATAATCAGGCTTTAAGTGTTTTCACTTCGCCGCTATTTGCTTGCGTGCTGCTAATGCAAGACTGTGTACGACGAAGTTTAATATATTGTCCGAACTTTGACATTGTTAACATTTTCAATGACGTTATAGGCACTAAAAGTGGTGAATTAAAAAAAACATCAAAGGCAAATCAAATCTAAAGTTCGTTTTTTGCGTGTCCATTTAATTTAGTTCAATGGCGCGAAGAGACTTGCACAAGTGCACCTCTTTACGACTGTCCACGACGAGTATTTCTCAGAATGCTCACAAAATAGTATTCTGCAATAGACGTTTCATAATAGACATTCTAAAATCTATTACGTGCTGTTGACATAAGAGAGTAAGTTTGTTTATATTTCTTTAAGCACATTATGGCTAATGTTTCTTTTAATTTGCATCATACGAATTTTTGGAAAGTTATATGTTGTGGGAAATCATGCTGACGTGAGGTTTATATTAAATACAATAGATATAAACATCTTAACTATGGATATCATCACCGTTGTACTGTCTCAATTACCTCGATTATTACAAGTGATGGCATCATTAAGGGCTCTTTTCCCCTCATCGCAAAATGCTCTCGCTGCGAGCTTGCGAGTCTGTTAAATTAGTTGAACAAAAAAATTTGTTCAACTAATTTAACTATGCTACAATTCATTGTCAGCTCGCTGCGAGTAACTCGCAGGCACTCGAAGTGAGCTTGCGAGTACGTTTTGCGATGAGTGGAAAAGAGCCTTAAGTCAGTTAAAAGTTGAAATATGTCACAGCTGCATAGTTGATGCAGGAGTGCTCAGAAGTGTGCTCTGAAGAGTGCATCCTTTATATGGTCAAATATTTTTCTAACTTGGACGAGTCATTGCAATGCGTCACTGCAGTTTGCTTTCTTGGAAGAAGCCAATCACTAATCTTTTATAAGTTATAACATATTTGTGAAAGTGCAAAACTAGGGTATGTGACAACAGAAAATCTGTCTCATAGTAATACATTTAACAAGAATACATTGATTGCCTTGTGTTAAGGGATTTGAAAGAAACATCAGCTTTGGCTCTTAAATTTTAACAAAATTAAATGTTGAATCTGGCCATTTCATTGCTTCATATGATTTTGACAGGATTGTGGGATTAACTAATATGGCCAAGGGCATTTTCAGTCATTGAATATTTAATAAAATGTTTTTTTCTGCTTTACTTACAGGAACAAGTTTTATCAGCAGTTTCCTAATTTGTGGTAATTTGTCAGCTCAAAAGGTAAGTGATGCAGTGCATCTTTGTTTTTCTATGTTTATCTCAATTCATCCATTTCATTAGTTCCATCCTTAGTGTATGTATTCCTAAACTTCTAAAACTCAATTTTTCCCCTACCCTGTTTTAAAACTCAATCTTTGCTTTCCTTGAACCCAACCCTAATCTTATAGCTAGCCAGGGTGGATCCATTTCCTTATCTGACTTTGGCATTTTGAGTCATGAACTTGTGAGCCACTATAAAGGGTTGTTTGGGGACATGCGTACTACCAAAGATAGTATTTGGTACTACCCCAGATAGTATTTGAAATTTTGACTCTTGGCAGAGATATTGTCTGCATTTTGAAGGTTTTATTTAGAAAAATCTTGGCCGTACCTAGGCTCAATAAATGAATTCATGAACTTTTCCCAGTTTTCATTTTTATTGTGATTAATAATTCTCTTCTTTGGATATCTCTGGACAGAGAAAGCTTTATTTATGCTCTATCTTTGCATTGTTGCAACTAACAGAAAAAATTATGTTAAGTCTTCTGTTTTTTACTCAAGATGTTGTACACATTGTGACATTAAACAAACTAGAAGGTGATGCTTATACACCTTTTCGATGAAAGCAATGAATTCTGTGTTATACATGTACTTTATTAAAGTAAAAACTAGCATTACAACAAACCATATATTTAATTTTTGCTTCAGGACACAAACTTTATAGTACTTTTATAATTCTTATCATCAAAACACAGAAGTATTTGAATAACATGATAAAGATGCAACTTTAATAAAAAGTACTTATGCAATGCAATGCCATGTTAATTTCATAAATTTTACTGAATTATTGATTTATAGCTCTTCAATACATACAACACAATTTGCAAGCAAAGCAATGCAATATATATCCAAAAATATGCAGTGTCTGTTTTGGCAAAAACAAACAATCAATTGGAAATGTATTCTTCCTCTGGGACTCGTTGAGCACATTTCTTCTTATGAAGTATTATATACAAAGACACAATAATTTGTCTCCAACGTCCAAAATTCTACATCTTTTTGTGTCATCTTTATGATTTTATTTTATCTTGTATAATGCATTCATAATGATTCCACTGCTTTTTTTACCTCTTTGGAAACTG